TCCTGGATCTCGCTCTGTAGACCAGGCTGGCCTCGAACTCACAGAGATCCGCCTGGCTCTGCCTCCCGAGTGCTGGGATTAAAGGTGTGCGCCACTACCTTTCTTCAATTGCTTCTATTGGGGCATTTTACCCCAGCCATAGCACTAGGACAGCACCTAATTCGAGTTGTGCAGGAGGAATCTTTATGGTCTGATGAGCTCTTCAAGGCCTCCGATTGCTACCACAAGGGAACCTGAATTGTGAAGGAGACGCCTTCTAAACAATACCAATTATGAAATGTTACCCAAGAAGTGAGTGAGGGCCTCGTACACGGAGATGGGGCAAAGGAGTTCAGGGGATTGTGCCAGTCGACAACTGCATTGCATGAGGCTCCAGTCGTGAGTTTGCTTCCAGCCTTGTCCTTGTGAGACTGGGCGTGGGGAGAGAAGCCTGTGGTGGTGACGTGGGGTGAAGGTGAGCCGGTTTTGGATGGCCAGGGACTAAGGTTGGGTGACAGGGAGATACACTTACTGAATTCATAATACCTCAGGTCATTCGAGTACCACTGCTTGGGGGTCACATCCGCATTGATGGCATGTATAAGTTAGTGTGCACCAGTGCTTGTATAATGACCCCAAACTCAGTGGTTTAAATTACCAATTAGTTGTTTATAATTCTGTGGACAGGCCATCTGTGATGGACTCTGATAGAATGGCTTTTTGTAGTACCACAGAGGGAACCAGGAATTTGTGGTCAGTTGGTGGCCAAAGCCTCCTGCTGGTAAGGAGATGGCTTTGAGCAGGAGCAATAAGCAAGCATCATAACCGGGCTGTGGGTAGTCTCCAGCCGGCTCGTCCGTCCGCACTCTTTCAGATGATAATGCTTACAAGATTTGCAAGAGTACCAAGGGAAGGCAAACCACACTATGTGAGCAGTTTCCAAGTCTGGGCTTGTGTCTCATTGGTTAAAGAAATGTATTTGGTCAATCCTAGAATCACGGTAGGAGTGGGTTACTATATGGACACACAAAAGGCAGAGCAAACTGGGACTGTCACTCAAAGCATACATGTGTCCTCATCCTTGAGGCTCGTGGGGGTAGGAAGACAGGAAGGAATGGTGCTTTTACACAGTTATACACATACTCTTCACACTTGCATGTCTGGCATATCCTTCCGCTTTCGTTCATCTGGGAAATGCCAGGCCCCAATGAAAAGCTGTCACAGTGCCTCAGCACGCCGATCCAACATCATGGATACAAACCTTTAAATGTCAAAGGAAGGCTGAAATAGCATCATATTGACACAGCCATGCAGACATGGAGAAAACTGTCAGTTTGGCAGGATCTAGGATCGGCTAGGAGACACTGGTCAGGGCACATCTGTGAAGAATTAGATTACATTAACTAAGATGGAAGACCCTCCTTAACCAAGGGCAGCAGCATCCTATTTCCCGGGGTCTGGGACTGAATAAAGAGAAAGGGAGCTGAACACTAGCTTGTCTTTCTGCTTCCTGACTGAGGATGTGATGTGACTGGGTGCCTCATGCTCCAGCTTTGTGACAGGTGCACCATGATGGACTGTACTTTCAGCCTGCGACCCAAACAGACCCTGCTTTCCTTACACTGCTTTGGTTAGGCATTTTGTTACAGCATAGACAAGTCCCTAATACAGGCTTTTCCCACCCAACCCTATGACTCTCATGTTCCCAATACGATAGACTTCCTCCCTAAAATGTCCCTCCACCTCGCTGTGGTCAAATCCATGAGACTCGGCTCTGAGTTCCAGAGCTGATCTTCATCGCACCTCTCACTCAGAGATGTGCAAAAAGGAAGCAGATGCCGCTGTTCAGAGCCACGATCTCAGCGCTTTGGACGGACCCAGGCTACAGACCCAAATGAAGAGTCACCCAGAACCCAGGAGGACAGCCAGGAATAGAATTCAGGCCAACACACATTTTCAAGGTTAGACGGAGAGAGAGAAAAGCTATGGAAATGAAGAGGAAATGGAAAATTGCAATCAGACTGTGAAGGGGACCAAGAGGAGATGTCAGCCCCTGTACCACCCCGCCCCAGGGCAGGCTCGTGCGCAGAGGAGCTGACAGCTCGGCGGACTCTACGGGTTTTGTGTGCTTTTTGTTAGCTGTCGTTACAGTTTGAGGTTTTGTCTTCCTTCTTTCTTTCATTCAGAGAGAGAGAGAGAGAGAGAGAGAGAGAGAGAAACCTGAAGTTGGGTGGCTGGGGAGATTGGGAAGTCCTGGGAGGACTTGGGGAGAGGGGAAAGAATATACTCAAGATATATTACATGTAATGTAATATAAATGGCCGGGCGGTGGTGGCGCACGCCTTTAATCTCAGCACTCGGGAGGCAGAGGCAGGTGGATCTCTTGTGAGTTTGAGGCCAGCAAGTTCCAGGACAGGCACCAAAATTACACAGAGAAACCTTGTCTAGAAAAACCAAAAAGAAATATAACATAAATGCAAAAAGAAAAAAGAAAAGAAAAGACACCCTATAAGTGACGACATCAATATGGCAGGCAAACAGGGTTCTTGCCTTGCTTTGCTCTGGGTTGTTTTTTGTTTGTTTGTTTGTTTGTTTGTTTGTTTGTTTGTTTTTGTTTTTTTTGAGACAGGGTTTCCCTGGAACTCACAGAGATCCTCCTGGCTCTGCCTCCCGAGTGCTGGGATTAAAGGCATGCACCACCACCGCCCGGCTTGCTCTGGGTTTTACAGCAATAGGAAAAGGAAGAATTTTTTTTTTCCAGGGCATAAATACTGCCAGCATAGTCAGATTGCAGCTTGAGAAAATGTTTTAAGAATGAGTAAGCAAGATGTATGAATATTTGTGAATGAAGCACGGCAAGGCAGAACTAGGTAAGAAACGGGGCAAGTCTTGATGTAAAAACAATACTCTAAATATGGAATGACTGGCATTTTATGAAATCTTTGTTGTTTGTTTGTTAGTTTGTTTGTTTGAGAAAGGGTTTCTCTGTGTATCCCTGACTGTCCTGTAACTAGCTCTGCAGACCACGCTGGCCTCGCACTCACAGAGATCCACCTGCCTCTACCTCCCCATTACTGGGATTAAAGGCATGCGCCATCACTGTCCAGCTTATGAAATCTCTTTTAAAAGACAGGAAATGTGCCTATTTTAAGCCTTTAAAAGCCTGTTTTCATGATTTATCCATGTCATGTTGTTAAGGGGTCTTCCTGGAACCAACACAATTCACACAAGTCAATGCAGAAAAGAAAAATTTTCTATGATCAAGCCGCTGCAGGGCCTGAGTAGGGCCACAGAACAGACTTGGGAGCTGAACTGTGACCTGGAGCCAGAATGTGAGAGCTTTGAAGCCTGAAAATCACAAACATCTGTGTCAAGTTCAGTTACATTTTCCACCAATTGGGATTTGAAGATTAGGACTTTCCTAGGAACATCCACTAAGCCATCTCTCCAGCCCCTGTATTTCTTGCTAAGTATCTGAGTTATGTGCCTAGGTACTAGTTTACTGTACCCACCAGTTCTTGTTCTTTCTGTTCATTTTTTCCACATGCCCGGTCACTGCTCTGTTGATATATCCCCTGGTGTTTTAGTTTCATTGAGTTCTGTTATTCTCATCTCGATGTTTAAACTCATAGATTATTTAGAAGTGTTTAAAAACTTCAAGACATCTAGCATCTTTCTTTTCAGAATGAATGTTTCATCTCATTACCGTGGGGTTAAAGAACATGGCCTGTAGGGTTTTCACCCTGATACTTGCTCAGACTTCTAGCAAGGGCAATCCTGTATATTCAAAAGTGTGTGTTTGGACTGAAGAGATGACTCTGTGGTTAAGGGTGTTTACTACCCTTACAGAGGACCCAACTTTTGTTCCCAGCACCTACATCGGGCAGCCCACGACTTTTAACTTTAAACTCTAGGCGATGATCCAACGCCTCTGACCTACGTGGGCACCTGCACATAAGAGCACATGCATGTGCGTACGTACATGTACAAACACACACACACACACACACACACACACACACTTAAAAATAAATCGGAGCTGGAGAGACTGCTCAGTGGTTAAGAGCACTTGCTGCTTGTGCAGAGGACCCAGGTTCAGTTCCCAGCACCCACATGGTAGCTCACTACTGTCTGTATCTCAAGTTACAGATGAGGCTCTCTCTTCAGTGGACAGTAGGCACATACACACGTGCAGGCAAAATACTCATATACATAAAAATATGTATCCTTAAAAATTAAAATCCTTAAAAGTAATAAAGGCTATATTTTCTCTTTACTTCAGGGCTTTGTGTTAATTAATTCAAGCTTGTTAAATTTCTATATACTTAGATTTAAAAAATCAAAAATTTGCTGGGCAGTTGGTGGTGCATGCCTTTAATTCCACTTGGGAGGCAAAGGCAGGTGTATCTCTGAGTTTAAGGTCAGCCTAGTCTATAGAGAGAGTTCCAGGACAGCCAGGGCTACAAAGAGAAGCCCTGTCTTAAAAAACAATAAAAATTTATTATTGTGTGTAAGATGTGTGAGTATAGTGCCGTCACACCCGTGGAGGTGAGAGAAGAATTTTGTACAGTCACCTCTCCCCTTTCATCTTTACACGGGTTCCAGTATGAAACTCAGGTCACCTGGCTGGCACACTTTGAACCACTGAGCATCCCTGCAGCTCCATCTCTAGATGACCTTCCTGAGAAGATGCTCAGGCTTTTTTGCCATTCCAAACTCTCACAGTAGCATCTTCTTCATCTGGAGTCAAAGCTTTGTGTGTCTGAAGGTGCCCACAGCCTTGGGTCACATAATCTTCACTTCTTCAATGTGCATCAATCATCAAGAATGGGAAAGGTGTGTGTTCTTGCTGTTATTCAGTAAATGCCACGTGGCTACAATTCTTAGAGGGAGGCCTTAAGCAGGAGTACACCTAAAAAATCATTCCATACAACCATTCTATAAACCACAGATATCTAGTCTCTAGTCCCCAAAGAAGGAAAACACGTGCCTCTGTTTTTTTTTTTAACCAAGGAAAATTTTTATTTAAACTGTGCAATCAATCAGTATGTAGACAGCAGTTTTCATAAACATTTTGGCATTTAAACTTTTATTCATTTTTTGGCATGACCTGTGGGGTAGAATATAAACTACCCGGGGTGGGGTAGGGATACTAAGAAATATTTGCTATCATGCTAGGAAAAGAAAACAAACCCACATCATTAAACAAAAAAATATGTTTTAAGAAGACATCTTAAGAAGTACATTCAAAAATCAAGGCAGACATTCACTTTCTTCATACGATGGAGTCTGCAGAGCTGGTCCCCTGAGTCAAGTAGAAATCGAATGTACTCAGCTCCACAGTCCACGAGGAAGCCAGCAAATGCTGCCCTTATAAGGAAGCAGAGAGTGGCAGGACCCAGAACACCCACGACATAAAATAACTTAACTGGCTCCCACACTTCATTAAATTCACATCTTTGAAATAGAAAAAAAAATTCCTACACATACAGACATAAACTTTTGTCCAACGACAGTAACAGACAGACAGATTTTCTTAATACCTGTCCTAAACTCTACCAAGTGGCTAAGGCAATGTCTGTGTTCAGGCTTCCCACCAGGAAAGGGTTTTAGTTTGGGAATGGAATGGAGGATGTAGAATGTGGCAAATAAGAAACTCTGTAACACCGGGCAACCAAGAGTGGCTTTTGGTTTTTGAAGGGAGTTCAATAGGAAAAGTAATTAACACTCTTTCTAAAGGTTTAAGTCAAGATGTGTTTCTCAATTATAAAATATGGCTGAGATAGAAACATAAGGGAATCTGTATAACCTTGCAGATAATCGAAGGAGCGAAGCTGGCCGACGCAAGAAAAGAGTTCCTATGTTAAAAATGAAAGATGAGGCTGGGGGCAGGGGGATGTAACCCCTTTAATCTCACACTCAGAGGCTGAGTTCAAGGACAGTTAACTTCCCCATATTCCACATCTCACCCTGGCTATCATCCTATGATCGGAAACTGCTTTCCCTCTGCTGAAGAAATGCTGAACGTTAGGGTGGAATTAGAAGTCGTTCTTCAAAATTGAAACAAGGCCAGTCTTGATCCAGAAATCAGAACAAACTAGAGCTTTGGGGTCTAAACCATCGAGGAAAAGAATTAGAAGATGAAGCAGGCAAAAAGGTTGGAGTATTCTAGGAGATACCCAGGCTGATGAAGAGAGGCAAGGTCGACGGGAAGCTTCCGAGTTGTCCAATCAGAAGGCTGCATATCCATCACTGCTTAAGTGAAGGCAGAAACCAGGCGGCAAGGCTGTATATGCCAATGTGCTTTGGAAAGAAAACTAAGGATGAGTCTGCTCGGTCTTGTTCATCTATCCAGGATCCCTCATGTGTGGAGACCCTTCCCTCAACCCTTCTCCAGCAGCATGATCAACGAGGAGAGAAAAATGGTTTTCAAAACTTTCTGATGAGGTCCAACACAGTTGGAGGCAAACATTTAAGATACTTTCCCTTTGAAAACATAGAGAAGCCTGGAGTTAGGAGCCAGGCAGTGGTGGCGCACGCCTTAAATCCCAGCACTTGGGAGGCAACGGCAGGTGGATCTCTGCGTTAAGGCCAGCCTGGTCTACAGACTGAGTTCCAGGATGGTCAGGGCTACACTAAGAAACCCTGTCTCAACAACCCTCCACCCCCGGAAAAAAAGACAGGAGTTAGTAAGTGCATGAAGCTCACTTCCAAAAATGCTTCAAGTTGAATTGTTTTTGAAGGGTTTTGGAGACAGATTTTAACGTGCTTTCAACAAACTACAGGGTCTATTTTTTTCCAGTCTTTGGAATTTTAAAGGTCTCCCAGCGGCAAGGGAACATGAGATTTGCTATCTCTAGAAGACCTAGTACCATGCTACTGAGATGAATTCCACAGAAGTCTACAGAGAAATCTCCAGAACCTGTGAGAATCTTACAATACATGACGAAAGAAACTTGGCAGACATGGTTGTCAAGGACATCATCTTGGATGGTGAAGGCCAAAACAGTCTAACCAAATGAATACTTAGAACTGAAGAACCTTTCTTTTTGGGGGTCGGAAAAAGGGGAGAAGAGGGGCTATGTTGCTGGTTCTGAAGAAAAGGGGGTTCACAGCCTTTAGAGACTGAAGAAGGTAAGGGAACAGCTTCTTCCCTGGACCTCAGAGGGATGCAGCCTCATCAGCAACTTCACTTTATCCTAGAGCTGGGGTGGTGGCCCACACCTTTCATCTCAGGAGTGTGCGGCAGGGGGATTGCCACCAGTTCAAAGTCAGCTGGGTTTACACAGCAAGTTCCAGGATGGCAGAATTTCCAGGCAAAAAAAATTTCCTCAAAAAGAAAAAAAAAAAAAAAAGAGTTTGGACCTACAGAATTCTAAAATAGTTACATGTTGCTGTTTACAGACACCAAATTAGGGATAGTTTGTTAGAGGTAATTGCAAGAAAATCAACATGGTACCTGCCTGCTAGGAAAGCCTGCAACACACACATTACATTAGCCTGTGAACCTATATCCTGAGCATAAACAACCCAGCACAGACCCTACGGTTGGCTGCCTTCGACATCGACACATCACTAAAACTCACAATCGGAGGAGCGGCTGGGCACGGCAGTCTCCAGAACCCACTGCTCTGTGCGCACAGATCACGGGAGTGATTTTTGACTTCTACCAAAGCAATGTTATCAGAGACACACGCAGTACATTTTCAGGCAGAAAAATCTGCAAAACACATGGTTGGCCCCCAAAATAGTGACAGCTCTTTACAATACAGTTCCAACTTTTTTTTTCCACATCTGGCATGCAAAATGGACATCTGATGATGTGCAAATGTACAGAAGCGAATCATGAATCACAACAGTCCCTGACCCACCCATGTATGGTAACATTTCCTAAAATAACAACCCCTCCTTATTTTGCTATATAGAGCAGGCAGGCCTGGAACTCACCGCGATCTGCCTATCCTTCCTGACTGTTGATTAAAGGAGTGTACCATGTCAGCTTTTGATGACATGAAGAACTGCTTCCAACGGTGTCTTACTGAGGTCTTGAACAGTGCTCCTGAGTCGTCGTCGGAGCCTTTTTAATTTTTTTGCAGAAGCCCTCCAGAAAGCACAGACGTGATCTCACCCCAGTCACTGCCACATTGCTGGTGTGCTTATGTTTGAGGTAATGGTAAGAAAGCCTGTAGCATGTCAGCAGCATCTAATTCCCTTGCTACTTTCCAAAAAAATCATTTAATGGATAAATCTGTCTTTTTTTAAAATCTCCAGGCTCTGTAAAAAAAGCCCTTCTTCTCAAACCCAGGTTTCCATTTGAGATGGAAAGCCCAGCTTCTCTGATGTAATGAAAACCTTACAGTTTAGGGACCACATTTTAACTCAGAGCACTGCCCACCCAAACAGTGGCTTGTTTCATTGCCTTCCTCAAGCTTCCTGAATAACCAGAGAATGACTTTACACAGGAATGCACACTATACAGGCAGATTTAGGGGTTCCCATAGTACCCAGTAACGGAGGAGCCTGATGCTATTGTATCTGTTGACCCATCACACTCACGGCGCCTTATGGAAGTATCACATCATTTAGCAAAAATATCCCTGTGGTTGAACCAGCAGATTTCACTGAAAATCCTTGGGATGCCCTGTGGACACAGAGGTGAGGTTCTGGAGAGACGTTTCATTAACATAAAAACAACAAACAACAGTTCAATGTACAGCTAAATTTCCCTATATTCGGAGGTAACCTTAAATATCTTTGGCTTTTAATTTCTTTTTAATTTGCTGATATAAAGTACTCGAATAAAAACACTGATAAATACCACTCTAACTGTATTGCCTTTAACTATGTAAACTTAGCCTTTCGGTCTTTTCTTTTTGCCACTAAGGCTAGATATCCTATCTGCTTCTTCTAAATAAATTTATTTTAAATCTGCTCATCTTTACTTACAGGCTAAATTATATATTTTAATGGTCTTTGGTATGAAAATAATGATGAGCAGTATATTGTAATATTTGACATTAAAAATGACAGCCAGGTTATCAGTACTTCTAACAAGTATGTCTTTGGAAAATGAAACAGTTACCAATTTGCATATCAGCTTATTTGGAGTTGAAATATGATGAAGAAATAATACCGTGAGAAAGAAATGATAACCTTCACACTTTAGTTAGAATTTCATACTTCAGACTTCAAAGAAGCTTGCTTTCGCCAAGCTGAGAGCCTCTGTTGAACATTAAATATCTTATTCCATGAGATCAAAATATTTATTTTTAGTGATAAGATTTGTTTTTTTTCCTCTCCAACAAGTAATTTCAAAAATTTGAAATACATTAATACTATAGAGTTAAAGATTTTTTTACTTGCTGAAGAAAAAAAAAAGCCCTACAGTTGAAATACTTTGTAACATCTGCTGGTGAGGAAATTATAACGTATTTTAAACATTCTGGTGACAGCAAGGTAGTTAATGTCACTAGTCTAATTAATTAACTGTAACTATCAATATTAACCCTACAGTTTAGGGTTAGAAATTACTTGTAATTGAGTCTATTCATAGCTGTTATTAGTGAACTCAATTTAGGGTAATTATAATAGACATTTCATTTTCTACTAGAAATTCTTTGGTAAGAGAATTATGAATTATGACTGCATAAGAATAGAATGGGAGGTTAAAATAATGAACTAGCAAATACTTATAAGCTAAAGGTCTACTGTAACTAAGGGCCTATTCATCAACAAACAGCACTTTCTTAGGGACAGTGTCCCCTCACACCCTTTTGGACGACCCAGGCAGGGAACACACAGTTCACGTGTGTGTGGCCCTAAGCCTGAAGTCTCACCTTTCTGTTCTGTTTGCTTTTGAAGATTGAGAACAGCCGATCCCCTTGGACCTCTCCGTTTCAGATACTGATAGAAGTTGGCCCACAGACTTCTACTGAACCAAACAACACCATACCCTGTCAATGCACCCGCCCATGCGTCATGAGCTCAAGAGAAACAAAACAAACAACAACAAAACAAAACAAAACAAAAAAACAACAACAGAAAAATTCCCTGAGTACAGGAAAGAACAATAACACTCGAATAACTTTTAAGAGGAGGTAGTATAAACAGGAGCACGCAGGCAGGGGAAGCCGGTTTTCTTGCCTCCCATTGTTCACCTAAAGCTCTGTTTTTTCTTTTCTTTTTCTTTCTTTCTTTCCCCCCAAGTTGCCAAAAAGCCCACCACACAAGGAGAGAGACAGAACTGTGCTCAGAAGCGGCAGCTGGCACGTCCTGTGGGTCAGGTTCTAAGCGCGTCCAATTTGGCACAAAACTTAGAATCACAATGGAAAAAGCGTGGCAGGGTCATCCAGACAGAAGACCCCAGGATGATTATCCAGCCGCTCCCTTGACTTTAGGACCCCATTGGGCAGGACCTGTCCCATCTACAGAGGGGAGGTTTCAAGGGAAAAACCCACAGAGGGCAACTCAAAAGCCATTTCCAAAAAAACTGGGGGGAGGGCCAAACCCACGGTTTTGAAAGGCTGAGGACGGGCCTCTTCCTCGGCTCTCATTTTCTGTCTCTCCCATGCCACTCGGCCCCCAGGCTGTTGCCTCGGGACTGAAAAGGCCCTGCTCTAAGGGGCTGAGTCGACAACTTGCTGATTTCAAACCAGGCAGAGGATGAACTCACTCCCGGAGTTAGTGGGACAGGAAGCCACAGTAAGCTCAGCCACTGGGGTGGTGGGGTACACCGTCCCCAGGGCAATCCTGCGCGCTTCGAAAAGAGAACATCACCAACAAGGTGCCAGGTAGCAAAAGAGCTATCTATCGGTAAGACCCAAGCTTTGTTAAGGCAAATTTTTGGTACCCTTTTTCCTAAACATCTTCATGAATATTAAAAAGGTATAAGGCAAAAATTTTCACAATATATACTGGAAGGCACTGCTGTTATGAAACCCGCAAGTTCATCTTATAGTCTACCGCTTCGTGGATCTTCGTTCTTGAGACTTCATGACACGTCTTCACCATTTGAAGCCAAACTGGGATTTTAAAATCTGAACCATTTAAAAAAAAAAAAAAATCCACTTTTCTACATTGTGTTTCGCAGCTAGCTCGGAAACTCTGAAGATGTTCCACCAAAGAGACAGCGCAGCCCTTGGCGGACTGTGGGGCCACGCGGAGGTGGCTTTTGTAGGCTGAAGGCAGGCCGGTTTGGGCTGGGGCACAGTACTCCTGCCCTGGTGCGCCAATCCCAAGAGCCTGGCAAGGCTGTGTTCCCCTATATGCTATGGAATGGTTCTCTTTCTCCAAAGAGACCTATTTGTTTCATCCATTCAAATAAATATAGTCCCGTATTTTCTCCTCACAGCCAGAGGTCTTAACATTATCCAAATCACGCAGATGTCACAGTTGGGGGAAAAAAAAAAAAAAAAAACAGAGCTTCAGATCAACCATCTTCCTCATCTACCCATCGGGCTCCTCAGGCACACACATCACACACACAATGGACACACGGCGGCGTCACCAGGAAGTCCTGCTGGCTCTGCCGCCCGGAGAAACCAGCACTGAAGGAGGCTCAGAGCTCTTCAGAGTCCGCCCACAGCAAACTGAGGTAGCTATTCGGCAGAGGGCTCGGGCAGTCTCCCCTCCGCTCCAGTGATGTATCTTAGAACACAGTCAAGCATCCTGACTGCCCTTTTTCACATTGTTGACAGTTGAAACATTCAAAATTCGTGCGCTTAAAAATAATTAAAAAAAAAAATTTTTTTTTAAAGATTAAAAAAAAAAACAAAAACCAATAAACAGTTAAGACATCAAGATTTTCACAGGCTTTGGCTCCCCGTTCATTGTCCTTCGAACAGATGCTTGTGAATCCCTGAGCATGGCTGTCTAGATGGGAAACCCCTCGGCCGCACAGCGCAGCCCCGCAGACGGTGCCTCTGGGGCTGAGGAGGACGTCTGCTCATCTGGCGAGGGCCCCGCAGGGTCTCCGTGCCTCTTGAGCACACCATCATCTCCATCAGCATCACCACCACCGGCGGCGGCGGCGGCGAGGGGATTCGAGGTGGGGGGTGTGCCGCTGATGACCGAGGACAGGTGTATCTCATCATTGGACTCGTGGGAGAACCTTCCAGAATCCCCCGTCTCGTGGCTGCCTTCACTGTTTGCTGAATGCTCAGTGTCAAGGGTAGCCCCAAAGGGTCTTGGGAAGCTGGCGGTCTGGCCTGGGGGGCTGGGGGAGTCCTCATCGCTGATGAGCACGGTGGTGCCTGGCTGGTAAAAGCAGACGGGCTGAGCAAATCTTCTTTGAGTCTAGGCAGAAACAGACAAGGGAGCCATGAAACACCAGGCCACGGGCATGGACCAGAGGACTCCACTGTGAATGGACTGTTGGGGTCAGTGGTTCCCACGGGCAGCTGGGAGCGTTTCTGAGCTGCTCCACCAACCGGAATGCCAAAGCCTTCCTTGGTGGGCCTGGAGGATGGCTAAGGGGTTTAGACCACATACTGCCCTGGCAAAGAACCTGAGGTTAGCCCCTACCACCCACATCAGGTGACTCACAGTCATCTCTAACTCCAGTTCCAGGTGATCCAACACCCTCTCCTGGCCTCCAAGGGTGGGACTCATGTACATATATCCACTCAGACAGGCACACACACATAATTAAAAGTTAAAAATCTTTAAAACCAAATACCCAGAACTTATGGTTATTTTGATATGAGCTCACGCCCCCCTCTTATTTTACGGTCCTCACGGCCCACTGAAAACCACATCTCTGAGTACTGTCCCCGGGTCTTCCTGGCTGTCGTTCACTGCTGCTCGTCACAGGCTAGAATCAGGACAACCTCAACTGACCCTCTGGCAGTCCCTCAACACAGCTCTCCACTGCCGGAACGGAACCTGGCCGGCCCAAGACTATTCACTTACATTCTCCCACGTTCCTATTCTTTCCAATCATCATTTCTTATGTCACGGACAGAAAAGGATTCTACCACGGGTGGATTACCTGTTCAACTTTCATCTTCTTGGTGTCTTGGAAAAAAAGCCACTTTTTCTTGGTGTTGTTTTTAATTATAGGGCCATAGCTATTGATGATCAGATCAGTCCCTCCCTGAGGAGATACAAAGGGAAAACACCCCAGAATTAGAGATCTGAGTTCATCGCAAGAAGTACACAAAGGTTTTTAATGTCTAAAGAAAACAAAGGTCTCCGGGCGGTGGTGGCGCACGCCTTTCATCTCAGGACTCAGGAGACAGAGGCAGGTGGATCTCTCTGTGAGTTTGAGACAGTCTGGTCTACAGATTGAGTTCCAGGACAGTCAGGGCTACACAAAGAAACCACAAGCCTTGACAAAGACACGAAGTAGCACCCTCTGGAGACGCTTCCTTGTAATATTCTGCTTCCTCAGACCATTAAGAGAAGGCTCTTTAGGTATCTACGTGGATATTTATTTATTTGTTTGTTGTTTATATTTTATGTGTACAAGTGTTTTGCCTGTGTGTACTATGTATACCATGTGCCTGAGGAGGTCAGAAGAGGGGGTCAGATCCCTAGGAAGTGGAATTACAGGTGGTCGTGAGTCACCACGTGGGTGCTGGGAATGGAACCTGGGTCCTCTAGAAGAACAGAAAATGCTTTTAACTTCTGAGTCATATCTCCAGCCCATATTTTTCTTATTTAAAAAAAAATGTTCTTTGGAGGCAACAGAGATGGCTCAATGCTTAAGAGCACAGGCTGTTCTTTCAGAGAACCAGGGACAAGTTCCCAGGACCCACGTGTCAGCTCACAACATCTGTAACTCCAGTTCCAGAGGATCTCATGCTCTCTTCTGCCCTTCTTGGACACCGGGCACACACATGATGCGGAGATATTATATGCAGGCAAAACACTCGTACATATAAAAGATTTCTATAAAAGTGAATCTTAAAAAAATCTCCTTTGTATGTGGTGTCCTCTCAGGGTCAATTCAGGCAACCATGAGACTCAATGTAAAATAATTTAATAAGAGTGTTGATGCCATCAGTGCAGGGAAGCCCAAATTATACTAAACAACAGCTAATGATGGTGTATCCCAGCTCCCCATAATCCTGTCTAATGTCTGTCTGTCCCCACCTCTTCCTGTACCTTCTATCCTTTGTTCTTTCACGTGTCCTCAACTTCTCCCCCAAACCGTGGGTGGATGGATCATATAATTTTAATTGACAGGGGTATGTATACAACACATTCAACACACTTTCCTGGCTAGTTAATGTCACACAAGGAGAGCAGCATCATGGAACGAACCTTCGCATCGATGAAGCTGCTGGGCATCATGGGTACCAAGGACTCTTCATTCTCTGTCGCCCTCTCCAGGTTCTTCCCCATGTCACTCCCCACGGCCACAGAAGCACTGGCTCGGGATAACGGCTGGGTTCCGTTCGGTGCCGTCTTGGAGGCAGATGACTTCCTGAAATATTGGTAAGAAAAGAAAGCCTGCTCACCTGATAGAAGATATGGGCAAATGTACCAAATTTGCCATTTAATCAGAACTTTTTTTTTTGACGCAGTAACTTGTGTATCCCAGACTGGCCTCAAGCTTATAGAAGAGAATGACTTTGAATTTACTTTTTTGCTTTCAAAATTTTTACATTGATTTATTTACTGAGTGTGTGTGTGTGTGTGTGTGTGTGTGTGTGTGTGTACACATGCATAAGTACATGTGGAGGTAAGGGATCAACTTGCAAGACTCAGTTCGCTCCTACCACGTGGGTTTTCAGGACTGAACTCTGGTAGTCAGGCCTGTGAGCAAGCACCTGTATCCACTGAGCCACCCAGAACCATCCTGAAGGCCCCTTGACCTTGAACTTGGTCCTTCTGTGCTACCCTGAGAGGTGTGTCACCACACCCGGCTTTCTGTAGTGCTGGGGAAGGAACCCGGGGCTTGAGGACACAGCTGAGCACTCACGAACTGAGCTAGCTCCTCGGCCCACAGCTTTCCAAACATGGACTTCTTTGATGCCTATGTCTCAGATATCTTTGGCATATAAATACCAGATCTTTAGCTTTATTCACTTATGTGGTGTTTGTCATTTGCCTGACAGCTGAGGGTAACACATCTATATTTACTTCATTAACCTGTGGTTCCGGCCACTTGTCCTATACCTCTCCTGGTGACTAATGCATGTCTGGTGTCACTACTTCGACATGAGATCACAAGGAATCCTCTGGGGAAGGGACGCGCTGGATCAAGTGTGCCATTAAAATAGACACAAAAGCAAAAGCCAGTCTCTCAAATATACTTCTCATTTTCTCAAAATGATATAGCAATGTAGAAACCAAATCCTCATTTAGGGATTTTTATTGGCACAGCAGTTTTTTTGTTGTTTTTTTTTCCCCCCCAAATGGCAGGAAAATGATCTTGGTATGAATTCAGCACATTCCGGGCTGTGAAAACCCCATAACATAACACTCCTTTTAAGGAGGAAAACAAGCCAGTTGATTCTACAAGGCACTTGATTTCAATTCATTTCCCTGCAGCTGCTGTCAGTGAACTGTTCTAAGCATTACAGCATCTCTCTCTTTGCATACATACAGACGTACATTTTACATGTGTGTGCATGTGGAGAGCTGCGGTGGACCCAGGCATCAATCACCTCCCACCTTACATTTGAGGCTGAATCTCTCACTGAACCTGGAGCTCGCCATTTCCCCTAGACTGGCTGTAGGGATTTTCCTGCCTTTGTTTCTCCAAGGCTGGGATGATAGGCAGGTACCACCCCCGCCTGGCATCTCTGTGAGTCCTGGGATCTTTGGTTCTCACACTTGGCACCTTACCTGTGAGCCGTTCACTCCACGCCCTACACCAGCGTCTCTAGCAAGAGAAACACACGCACCTGGCTTTGCCTCGGTATATCAAGATGAGAACACAGATGAGGATGCACGTCAAGGCTATGCCAACGCCTACGGCGATACCGGTCATTGACTTCTGGTCCAGATGGTAATAGCCTGAATAAACTAGAGAGGGGAGCACGTTTACACAATCAGAAACAACCACATCCCACACATCACAGTTCAGACAGCCGCTTTTCTGTAATTTGCCTTTATCTCATAGGGAAGCTGTTGACATTACATCTAAGCAGAAAAGTCATGAATTGATTTTTGCCAGTGATTACAGAAGTCAATTTACCTTCTAGTATTGAAGATCAAGACCATATTTAGACAGCATACTATTATATCAAACAATGAACGCCAATCTCGAATTTTATTTATTTGGGTTTTTTTTTTGGGGGGGGGAGGGGGACAGGGTTTCTCTATGTAATAGTCCTGGCTGTTTAGGAACTAGATTTGTGGACCACGCTGGGCCTTGAACTCACATAGATCCGCCTGCCTCCGCCTCTGGAGCTCTGGGACTAAAGGTGGGCGCCACCACACCTGGCCCCTTTCTGTTCTTAATTCTGACTGTCTGCTCTTCTGACCTTCTCCCGCACCAACCACCGAGTGACTGCCCTGTAGCTCCAGAGTTCCTAATGTGTATCCAGTAGGTAGCTTCTCTATTTAAAGCTGCTCTCTTATTTCTCCACAGAAAAGCAGAGTGAGGTGTCCAGTCCTGGACCCCAGGGGGCACTGGCTCCCTTTAGACAGGTGGACATTGAGAGTCCTGTGTGGGGGTGGCTGCCGAGTCACATTCCCCCCCCCACCCCCCCCACCCCCCGCCCCAACTGTTTTTCTGGGTAAAAACTGTCTGGGAGAGCTGTTTTCCTTAACGAAAGCCAGGTTCCTCCCAGCCTTGCCTCCACAACCACCTCTGCTGTGGTTTCCTCAGAACCTCCCAGGACGCTCCCGCCCACCAGCATGCGGCTCATCCAGCCCAGCACAGCTGGGGCCACAACTGGGAGCTGAAAGTTCATTCTGAGGTGATTTTCCCTCTGCCTTCTAGGACCACAGAAGAGAGCCAGGCAGCCCAGAAAACCCGGAACCCCACCGGCAACAATTCAGCAAACCAAGCCTGGAGTCCGGGGTGTGGCAACTGTGAGAGCTGAAGTATTAGGGGGTGAAAACCCGTGACTGTGGCAGCACCCAGACCTTTGGCATCAGAAGAATCCAAACGCTTGGGTCTCTGATTTGACTCCGAAGTGTCCTTGGGCAGGACAACCAGCTCCACGGAATTGGAAAAGGGCCCTTCTCCCACCTCGTTGGATGCAGATATCTTGACGATGTACACGTTCCCCGCCACCAGGTTTTCCAGGAGAGCCATGGTGATTGCCCCTAAAACATACAAATTAAGTAAACTTTTACAGCCATACAAACATGGACCTGCGTTTAAAAAGTATTTTTCTGAGGATAAATTTTTAAAACAATGTTCTTTTTCCCCCCTAGGGGTCTGGAGAGATGATGGCTCAGCCATTAAGAATGTTTGCTGCTCTTGCAGAAGACCTGAGTTCAATTCCCAGCATCCACCTCATGCAGCTTACAACCACCTGTAACTCCAGCTCCAAGGGGTCTAACGCCCTCTTCTAGACTCCACAGTCACCCACAGACACGTGGCAGGCACACAAACATAAATAAAAGAAGTAATTCTTTAAAAATACATCTTTTTACTAATTGGAAAACAGATTTAAATATGGATACATCGATAATTCCACTGTTGACATTTTAATTATGTGTACATGTGTACAAATGTATGAACACAGATTTTTCTGTTTGTTTGCTTTTTCAAAAACACTGTTTTTTTTTTTTTTTTGTTTTTTTGGTTTGGTATGGTGCTGGGATTGAACCAAGGTCCTTGTGCATGCTAGGCAAGCACCCTACTACTGAGCTACATCCGAACCCCAAATACATATTCACCTCATGCACTTTCATAGCTTAATATTTTCACCTAACATTGTACTATGCATATATAGACACCTCATAAAGACCTCTGGAATGGTATTTTATGTGGAGGTTTTTGTTTGTTTGCTTTTTTAATTTGTTCTATCTATCTATCTATCTATCTATCTATCTATCTATCTATCTATCTATCTATCTATCTATCATTCTATCCATCCATCCATCCATCCATCCATCCATCCATCCATCCATCCATCCATCCATCCATCCATCCCAAGACAGGGTTTCTTCTTGTGTAGCTTTGGAGCCTGTCCTAGAACTCACTATGTAGACCATGCTGGCCTGGAACTCACAGAGATCCACTTGCCTTTGCCTCCCAAGTGCTGGGATTAAAGGATTGTTTTATTTTTAATGATGTGTAAGTGCATTTGAATGTGGTACCCACAGATGCCAGAAGGGTCATCAGATTACATCTCGCTAGAGTTGTGAGGAGCCCTAATTCAGGTTCTGGACACAGAACTTGGGTCTTCTGAAGAGCAGTGTATTTTCTTAACCACTCTCTAGCTTCTTATAAGGAATTCTTTAAACACAGCATATAGTTTTGTTTGAGTTAATATGAATATTTAAAATGTAGGTAAGTTTATTTTATACTGTTTATTTATATTATATATGCCTATATGATGCTTTACTCCTTATATACACATGACATTTAGAACATTCAATTATGGCCATTTCAACGCATACAGAAAGAACAGTACAAGTAATGAGCCGGGGTCATCAGTTATAATTAGACTTTAAACCAGCCAGTGTAAGAAAGAAATTCCAATGTAAGACCAATCTTTCTTTCTTAATTGTATTTGTTTAACTACCTAGGGGTAACGGCTGTTTTAGACGACCCTGTTCTTCCTTCTTAAACAAGAACAGGGGCTGGAGAAACAGCTCAGCAGTTAAGAGTGTGTACTGCTCCTGCAGAGGATGCAAGTTCAATCCCCAGCACCCACGTTAAGTGGCTCATAACCGCTTAGAACTCCAGCTCCGCGGGACCAGGGCCTCGTCTCTGCAGGCACCTGCACTCATAAGCACATATCCCACAAAGACACATGTATACACACATAATTAAAAATAATTTTAGCTAGGCAGAGTGGTGCAGGCCTCTAGTCCCAGCACCCTGGAGGCAGAGGCAGGCAGACCTATGTGAGTTCGAGGCCAGCCTGATCTATAATACCAGTGCTGGGACAGCCAGGGTTACACAGAGAAACCATCTCAAAAACCAAAAGCAAACAAACAAAACTTAAAAAAAAAAAATGGAGCTGGAGAGATGGCTCAGTGATTAAGAGCACTGGCTGCTCTGCCAGAGGATTTGGGTTCAATTCCCAGCACCCACATGGCAGCTCACAACTGTCTGTAACTCCAATTCCAAGGGATCCAATGCCTTTTTGGCCTCTACAGACAGGCACCAGGCATGCAAGTGGTGTTCAAACATACGTGCAGGCAAAATACCCACACACATAAAAACAAAATTAAAAGTAAAAAAAAAAATTAAATAATAAAAAATAAATATTTAAATGAGAAAGAACACAAATATCTTCCAAATGTTGAATGAATCTTTCAGCAGCTGATTATCATATTTCTTTTCTTTCTTTTTTTTTTTTTTTTTTGTTTTTCGAGACAGGGTTTCTCTGTGTAGCTTTGCGCCTTTCCTGGAACTCACTCTGTAGACCGGGCTGGCCTCGAACTCACAGAGATCCGCCTGCCTCCACCTCCCGAGTGCTGGGATTAAAGGCGTGTGCCACCACCGCCTAGTCGATCATCATATTTCTAAAACAAAAAACCCCACAGGTTTCCATGGGAACCACAGAGGCTGACGACCCCTCACAGGTTAACTCTTCTTGGAACATTTTATCACATTTCTGCTGCGTGTGCGCTGGTGTATGTGGTTGTGTGCGCACTGGCATGCACGCGGAGCTCTGAGGGCAGCTAGCGGCCGTCAGTTCACTTTTCCACCAGGTGGGTCCCAGGGACTGAACTCAGGTCTTCCAGCTGCTGGCAAGGGCTTTTACCCACTGAGCCACCTCCTCAAACCCATGTTAACTTGCAAGGTGACCAGGCCATGGCCGGCAAGATGGCTCAGTGGTTAGAAACGCTTGCCACGGAGGCTGAGAGGCTGACTTTGATTCCTGGGACCCACAGGATAGAAGAACTGACTCCCTACAGGTTGTCCCCCTGATATCCACTGCGGCAAGGACACACCCCACCCCTACCCCATGCACACACACAAAATAAATAAAAATGCTTTAAAAAGATGCCCATGCTTATCTGTCTGAGATCTGCTTCTCTCCAAAGGCAATCATCACTGGAATTCACAGATGTTTAGCATCTCTAGGTATTTTTTTCCTGTGATGGCCACTGAGGACTCCTGTTTGAACCTTTCTGTTTATCTCTGCATGTAGAGCATTTCTCTTTAGGAAAGTCAGGCACAAAGCTGTCACCACACCACCCAGGACCAGGGACACCTAGCTTTCCTGGTGTGGGGAGGGAGCGTTCTCCTTTTTCCCTGGTATAAAGGGACCTACAAGAGCTTCAGAAAGCTCACAAGGGCTTACTACAGTCAATTGCAAAGCCAGGGCCGGCTTTTCCGGAGGGAGCATGTACTAGGGAGCACGTACCTCCTAAGGGAGGGAAGTGTGGGCAATCCTATAACTGAAGCCCTGATACAGCGGCCACTCTGCAGGTCACACACTGTGAGGTGGCCCGGCCATTAGCAGCAGTGTCAGGAGCCCAGCAGGACTTGTTTTCATGTTCTCTGGTTTCAACTTGGCCTGAAGAGAGTGTGAGTTACTTGAATAACCCAACTGCTAAGTAAACACAAGAAACCCTATTTAGAAGCAGGAAGAGTCTGTACTGTGTACCTTGGATGCAGGCAGAGGCACTACAAAACAAAGATGTACCCTCACAAGTTAAAATTAGCTGGAGGGCCATTCCAATTTCTTCGCAAGTCGAGATGAAAGTTATGCTCCTGCTCTATCATTAAATACGTTTAATTTTTCAAAATGCTTGGCAAAAACTTACCACTAGCAAAGCAAATTTTTCATTTAATTTAAAAAAAAAATGTTTTGGCCAGGCGGTGGTGGCGCACGCCTTTAATCCCAACACTCAGGAGGCAGAGAAAGGTGGTTCTCTGTGAGTTCAAATCCAGCCTAGTCTATAGAGCAAATTCCAGGATAACCAGGGCTATGCACAGATAAACCCTGTCCCAAAAAAGTTTTATTTTATGAGACAAAGTCTCATGTACCCCAGGTTAGCTTCAAACTCACTATGTAGGCAAGGATGACCTTCAGCTGATCCTCCTGCCGCCCCATCCCAAGTCCTGAGATACAGGCATGCACTATCACGACCAGTTTTATCCAGGCTGGGGATTAAACCCAGGGCTCCATACATGCTAGGCAAGCAACCTAGAGGCTGAGCTATACCCCCAGCCCAATTAATTTAAGTTTTGTAAGTGAATCAGCACTATATGTAAACACATTCTTTCCGTTCATCAAAAATGATTTTAGTTAAAAAAATAATAATAAAATGGTATAACATTCTGTTTCCCTATGAGCACATGAGACTTGTGTATGGAGGTCAGAGGTCAATTTGCAGGTATCTGTTCTCTCTTTCCACCACATGGGGTCCAGGAATCAAACCCAGGAGGTCAGCCTTAATGATAAGCACCTTCACCTGATGGTCCCTCCTGCCAGCCCACTACCACAAATATTTTGATTCTCAAAAAAAAAAAAATTAAATTCTTGATCTATTTGGTATTAAATATGAACATAAATATGTATAAATTTACACATATTAAAGATCATCACAAGCCGGGCAGTGGTGGCGCACGCTTTTTTTTTT